TTTGTAAACCGAGGCATTATTTTCAATGGATTTTCATTCGTAAACCGAAAATTATGTTCGTAAACCGAGGTACGCCTGTACAGTCCATTTATCATTATTTCCTATGGGACACGTTCACATCTCCACGTTTCCCCACGGTAAGTTTTTGGAAAGGGTCAGGGACTTTTTTGAACGCAAAACGTGGCTTTTTTGGTTCCATAGACTTCAATGGGAATGCTGTCAAAAATGCAAGTGCGCCCCTTGAGGGTTAGGGACTGATGTGAATGTACAATATATATGTAAAGTGCTGCGTAAATTGACGGCGCTATATAAGTACCTGAAATACAATAATACAATTTTAAAACATTTAATGTGTTAATGATAACAGGAAAAGCAGTAAAATACAGTAGATCCCCTTCAGCATGCACCAATCAATCCCCCACACAAAAGACCCTTCCCCAGCAACAATGAACCCCCAGCAGCAACAACAGATCCCCTGGCAGCCAGCAACATTAGACTCCTCCCTCAACAGGAGATCCCTCCCCGCAACAATAGACTCCTCCCTCAACAGGAGATCCCTCATAGCAACAATAGACTCCTCCCTCAACAGGAGATCCCTCCCAGCAACAATAGACTCCCTCCTCAACAGGAGATCCCTCCCAGCAACAATAGACTCCTCCCTCAACAGGAGATCCCTCCCAGCAACAATAGACTCCCTCCTCAACAGGAGATCCCTCCCAGCAACAATAGACTCCTTCCTCAACAGGAGGTCCCTCCCAGCAACAATAGAATCCTCGCTCAACAGGAGATCCCTCCCAGCAACAATAGACTCCTCCCTCAACAAAAGATCCCTCCCAGCAACAATAGACTCCTCCCTCAACAGGAGATCCCTCCCAGCAACAATAGACTCCTCTCTCAACAAAAGATCCCTCCCAGCAACAATAGACTCCTCCCTCAACAGGAGATCTCTCATAGCAACAATAGACTCCTCCCTCAACATGAGATCCCTCCCAGCAACAATAGACTCCTCCCTCAAAAAAAGATCTCTCCCAGCAACAATAGTCTCCTCCCTCAATAGGAGGTCCCTCCCAGCAAAAATAGAATCCTCGCTCAACAGGAGATCCCTCCCAGCAACAATAGACTCCTCCCTCAAAAAAAGATCCCTCCCAGCAACAATAGACTCCTCCCTCAACAGGAGATCCCTCCCAGCAACAATAGAACCCCATGCAAAAATAGATTCCCATCAGTGACAATAGAACCCCAGCACACCCCAGCAGCCAGCATCAATAGACCCACCAGCACACCCCAGCAGCCAGCATCAATAGACCCTCCAGTACACCCCAGCAGCCAACATCAATAGACCCACCAGCACATCCCAGCAGCTAGCATCAATAGACCCCCCAGCACGCCCCAGCAGCCAGCATCAATAGACCCCCCAGCACACCCCAGCAACCAACATCAAAAGACCCTCCAGCACACCCCAGAAGCCAGCATCAATAGACCCTCCAGAACACCCCAGCAGCCAACATCAATAGACCCTCCAGAACACCCCAGCAGCTACCATCAATAGACCCCCCAGTACACCCCAGCAGCCAACATCAATAGACCCTCCAGCACACCCCAGCAGCCAACATCAATAGACCCCCTGCACACCCCAGCAGCCAGCATCAATAGACCCTCCAGCACACCCCAGCAGCCAACATCAATAGACCCTCCAGCACACCCCAGCAGACAACATCAATGGACCCCCCAGCACACCCCAGCATCCCTTGCCATTACATAAATTAGTGCCAGAAACTGCGTTGCCCCGCGTTCCTGCTGAAAAAAAGTTGTGTATACTAGTAACATCTATTTTAAGAATCCCGCCAAGCTTTTTTTTCCACATTTTTCCTGTATAAATTCTTTTAGCGTATTTTACTAGGAAAATCCTGCAAAATATTTATTTACTGCCCCCCTTTGCCTGGATTTGCACGGCAGACGCGGGTCACATAAATCCGGCCATATAATGAGTCCTCTGTAAGCTCAGCCTTATAAATGTCAGAGTGAACTTTGAAAAGCCGCAGTCACAATGGTATCACTTCCCCAGGAACGTGCGCCCGTCGCATACCGCGCCGCTCGCATACCGCGCCGCTCGCAGAACAATTTTAAGACCGTGAAGGAATTGGAGCGGCTGAAGCAGATCGCGGCGGGGTGGAGGTATAACGTTTTGTTTCGCAGTCCGTCGCAGGCAAACCGGAATGTCTGGGCGGGGCGCTTCCCTGGATAACCGATTATTAAAGCTTGTTGAAACTCTACAAGTCAGTTACAGCAAATCCTTTATGAAGTCTGAATTTAACCCCTCGCCTGCAAGGCGTTGTCACCCCCTTCCTGCCCGGGCCAATTTTTGGCTTTCAGGGCTGTCGCACTTTGAATGACAATTGTGCGGTCATGCGACACTGTACCCATATGACATTTGTATAATTTTTTTCTCACAAATTTCTTTTGGTGGTATTTAATCGCCGCTGGGGGTTTTATTTTTCGCGCTATAAACAAAAAATAGCAAAAATGTGAAAAAAAGTCTTTCTTTTTTGCTTCTATTAATACATTTTGCAAACAGGTAGTTTTTCTCTTTCACTGATGTGCGTTGATGAGGCTGCACTGATAGGCAGCACTGATGAGGTGGCACAGATAGGCAGCACTGATGGGGACTGATGAGGTGGCACAGACAGGCAGCACTGATGGGCACAGATAGGCAGCACTGATGGGCACTGATCAGGTGGCACAGACAGGCAGCACTGATGGGCACTGATAGGCAGCACTGATGGGCACTGATAGGCAGCACTGATGGGCACTGATGAGGTGGCAAAGATAGGCAGCACTGATGGGCACTGATGAGGTGGCACAGACAGGCAGCACTGATGGGGACTGATGAGGTGGCAAAGATAGGCAGCACTGATGGGCACTGATGAGGTGGCACAGACAGGCGGCACTGATGGGCACAGATAGGCAGCACTGATGGGCACTGATCAGGTGGCACAGACAGGCAGCACTGATGGGCACAGATAGGCAGCACTGATGGGCACTGATAGGCAGCACTGATGGGCACTGATGAGGTGGCACAGATAGGCAGCACTGATGGGCACTGATAGGCAGCATTGATGGGCACTGATGAGGTGGCACAGATAGGCAGCACTGATGTGCACTGGTAGGCAGCAATGAAGAGCACTGATAGGCTGCACTGATGAGGCGGCATTAGTGGACATTGATGAGGAGGCACTGATGATGCTGCACTGATATACAGCAATAATGGGCACTGATAGGCGACACTGATGGGCACTGATAGGCAGCACTGATGGGCACTGATGAGGCGGCACAGATAGACAGCACTGATGGGCCCTGGTAGGCGGCAATAAAGAGCACTGATAGGCTGTACTGATGAGGTGGCACTGGTGGGCATTGATGAGGAGGTACTAATGATGATGCATTGATATGCAGCAATGATGGGCACTGCTAGGCAGCATTGATGGGCGGCACTGACTGACAGCACTGATGGGCACTGACAGGCGGAACTGCTGGGCACTGATGGGTGGCACTGCTAGGCACAGATAGGCACTGATGGGTGGCATTGCTAGGCACAGATAGGCACTGGTGGGTGACACTGCTGGGCAGCACTGCAGAGTACTGATCATGGAGATCTCCGGGTGCACGCCACGGGGGAGATGCACGGGAGGGTGCATTCTGGGAGGACGTCATATGACGCCCTCCCAGGACTGGACAACCACGCTGTAGCCCTCATTCAGCTATAGCGCAGTAAGGATGTGGCGAAAGGTTGGCTGTATGGGGCCCCGTGGTTTGTCACCACCACCGGGTCCAGAACAATCTGCGTTCAACCAGAGAAGACCTCAAAACAGAACTGCAGTCAAAAATAACAAAAAAATGAATAGCTCATGAAAAGATAAAGCGACAAATCAGTTTTCCCTGCAATAGTCTGCTTCAATACAGAGGTTTCCCCTGCACTGCTTTTTTCTGCCATTAGATGTCCTCAGTCTGATGGCCCATGTCTTTCAACCCACTTCCTCTGAGCCCAGGTCTGTCCTGAACTACCACCCCCCCCCTCCACCAGCCTGTGACTGGACAGTGAAAGAAGAAGTAGCGATCACATCATAATTACAGAAGCAATGTTTCGGATTCACGCAGGGCCCCTTTATCAGGCATGTGTGTGATGAATGGGTCCTGCGTGGCTCCGAAATATCGCTTCTGTTAGGCCTGGTTCGCACCAATGTATTGTGCTTTTTGTCCGTTTTGCAGTGCGTTTTTGAACTTTTGCAGGTGTGTTTTTTCCACGTTTTGCGTTTTTTACACGCGGTCATTGGCCGCCATGCCATGCAGCAGTTTTAACGTCACATTCTGAGTCTGACAGGCAGCGCCGCCTGTCAGTCCCTCCTATATAGGTGTGTGTAGCTGTACCGCAATGGCAAGCCAAGCGAATGGATCACAGTTGCAGGGCGGTCCCACAGTGCAAAACAGCCCAAAATAAAAAGGCGAAAAAAAAAAAAAATGGAAACCTGCCTTCACCGTCCTCTGAAAAGCAATACACTCAGATCACTTTTCAGACACAAGTGTGAAAGGAGTGTAGTGAAACGGCATGCATCGTCTTTCAATCTTCTGCAGACTAATGCAGGCCATACATAGTTCGAATTCTGAACAATTTTCGTACGAAAATCGGACCTAAGAATAATCAGCCGACTTTTGGTCTGTTAGTGGGGCAATGGCATCGGCTGATTTTCGTGGTTCCTCTCCATTTAGTTTATAGGGGATGCTGGAAAATTCGTAAAAAACGACCGATTTTCGAAACCATTGGTGGCACCATTGTATTACAGAACGAACGATGTTTCGATTTTTGGACGAAAAATCGTTCAGATTTCGAACCATGTATGGCCTGCATAACCCTTACAATCTAACGTGTTTTTTTTCCCTCTTCCATCCTTCCGATACTCGATGTTATACCTGCCTCCTTTTTTTTTTTCCCATCCATTCTGCAGTGTTTGAGAGCTCAGAGAAAATCATCATCGTCATGGAGTATGCCAGCAACGGGGAGCTCTACGACTTCATTAATAACAAGCACCAGATCCCCGAGAGCGAAGCGCGCCGATTCTTCCGCCAGATTGTGTCGGCCGTACACTACTGCCATAAGGTAAATAGGGGGCGCCATGCCCAGGGATGACCGCTTATAGATATTGTAATAACTCCATAATGTGCATTGAGCTAAAAAATGTCCCAGTACCTACCTGTCCCCCAAACACTTACCTGCGGTCCCTTGTCGCCACCACCGGGTCCAGAACAATCAGCGCCCAACCAGAGAAGGCCTCAAAAGCAGCCAAAAATAACAAAATAAAAATGAACAGCTCATGAAAAGATAAGTCAGTTTTTCCTGCAATAGTCTGCTTCAATCCAGAGGTTTCCCCTGCACTACTTTTTTCTGCCATTAGATGTCCTCAGTCTGATGGCCCGCACTTTGTAGCCCACTTCCTCTTTAGCCCAGGTTTGTTCTGAACCAGCCTGTGACTGGACAGTGAAAGAAGTAGTAGCGATCACATTACAGAAGCAACGTTTCGGATTCACGCAGGGTTCCTTCATCAGGCATGTGTTTCAACAAGTACCAAAAAACAGCGCTCAAATCTTCGCGCTGAACAGAATGCACGGAATCTAGCACTCGCTGGGGTGCCGCCCTTGGTAGATCGGGGAATCTTGACACTGGCAAAAAAGAATAAAACAGGGCGCACTCGTGCATTACCGTGATATAAAATAAATTTATTGTTAAATTACAAATGCATACTCACAAACCAAAATGGGGTGAAAAGTGCTAACGCATTTCGGGAGTTGAAATCCCTTCCTCAGAGCAATTGCAGCATAAAGATTTAAGTGCTGGTTTTTGGTACTTGTTGAAACACCTGCCTGATAAAGGGGCCCTGCATGAATCCGAAATGTTGCTTCTGTAATGTGATAGCTACTTCTTCTTTCACTGTCCAGTTACAGGTTTGGTTAAGAACAAACCTGGGCTCAGAGGAAGTGGGCTAGTGGGGTGCCGCCCTTGGTAGATCGGGGAATCTTTACACTGGCAAAAAAAATAATAAAACAGGGTGCACTCTCCTTATGCATTACCGTGATATAAAACAAATTTATTGTAAAATTACAAATGCAATACAAATGAGTGCGCCCTGTTTTATTATTTTTGAGGCATGTGTTTGATGAATGGGTCCTGTGTGGCTCCAAAATTATCGCTTCTGTTAGGTTCGCACCAATGGATTGTGCTTTTTGTCTGTTTTCCTATGGGACATTTTCACATCTGTGCGTTTTCGCCCGGTGCGGTTTTTTTTTGGAAAGGGTCGGGGACGTTTTTGAACGCAAAAAGTTGTGTTTTTGGTTCTATAGACTTCAATGGAAATGCTGCAGAAAAGCATGTATTGCGTTTTTGCTCAGTTTTTGATGCGTTTTGTGTTTTAAATCTGCCTAGCGAAAAAAAAAAAATGAAAAAAAAAACAGCCTCAAAAAATGCGTCAAAAACAAAACGCAATGCAGAAACGGGTCCAACACAACCTGCAGAGGTGTAAACCGAGCCTTATGTGGCTGCTTTTATTATTATTATTATACGGGATTTATATGGCGCCAACAGTTTGCTCAGCGCTGTACAATATAACGGGAGACAATACAACAATGATAGTCAGTCAGAACAGGGCAGAGGTGACGTCACAGTGGGACGGAAGAGGCGCAGCGACATATTTCAGAGCATGTGCGCACCTTTCTCAGGCTTGAGAGAAAAGTGAGCATGCTCGGAAATGCCCAGGGGCGGACTGACAACTCATGGGGCCCCCGGGCAATAGGGGATCATGGGGCCCCTGTGTCCTTGCCCAAACTCAAAAAAGCCTATGAAAAAGGTACCAGGGGCATCTCATGGGGCCCCCTACTGCCCCCCCGGGCCCTCGGGCAGTGCCCGAGTTTCCAATTGGTCAGTCCGCCCCTGGCCATGCCTCTTCCTTCCCATCATGGTGTCTCCTTTGCCCGGTGCTGTCTGGGTTATTATCCAAGGGTATTGAGCCGACGGCTGCAGAGTGTCCACAGCGGGGCGTGTTCAAACAGAGATGGAAGCAGTTGCCTTTATATGAAGAACAAGTTTTTTTTACATATTATGTGAGTTGCCAATTGTGATGTAAAGAAATGAAAATGTTCTAATACTACACTTAGTTGGCGCTCCTTTCCTTTCCCTATTCCGATATCCACAGAGATTATTAATATTATACAGGATTTATGGCGCCAACAGTTTGCTCAGCGCTTTACAATATAACGGGAAACAAACAGCAACAATACAATTCAATACAAGAGGGATAGAAGCTCCTTGGAGCTTACAATCTAGGAGGGAGGGGCTAGTGGTATAAAAGGTAGTAACTGTGGGGGATGGACTGGTAGGAAGAGTAGAAGATTCCAGTATTAGCTGAGGGCAGGATAGGCTTCCCTGAAGAGAGAGGTTTTCAGAGATCGCCTAAAAGTGAGCAGAGTAGGCGATAGTCTGATAAATTGGGGTAGAGAGTTCCAGAGGATGGGGGAAGCTCTGGAGAAGTTCTGGAGACGAGTATGGGAGGAGGAGACAAGGGAGCTAGAGAGAAGGAAATCTTGCAAGGAGCAGAGAGTACAGTTTGGGTGGTATTTGGAGACAAGATAGGTGATGTAATTTGGGGCAGAGTTATAAATGGTTTATATGTTATTGTTAATGTTTTAAATTTTATCCGTTGGGTAACGGGAAGTCAGTGGAGGGATTGGCAGAGAGGGGTGGAGGACACTGAGTGGAGGCCAGTGGAGGGATTGGCAGAGAGGGGTGGAGGACACTGAGTGGAGGTCAGTGGAGGGATCGGCAGAGAGGGGTGGAGGACACTGAGTGGAGGTCAGTGGAGGGATCGGCAGAGAGGGGTGGAGGACACTGAGTGGAGGTCAGTGGAGGGATTGGCAGAGAAGGGTGGAGGACACTGAGTGGAGGTCAGTGGAGGGATTGGCAGAGAGGGGTGGAGGACACTGAGTGGAGGTCAGTGGAGGGATTGGCAGAGAAGGGTGGAGGACACTGAGTGGAGGTCAGTGGAGGGATTGGCAGAGAGGGGTGGAGGACACTGAGTGGAGGTCAGTGGAGGGATTGGCAGAGAGGGGTGGAGGACACTGAGTGGAGGTCAGTGGAGGGATTGGCAGAGAGGGGTGGAGGACACTGAGTGGAGGTCAGTGGAGGGATTGGCAGAGAGGGGTGGAGGACACTGAGTGGAGGTCAGTGGAGGGATTGGCAGAGAGGGGTGGCTGATACAGAACAGTTAGTAAGATGGATGAGTCTGGCAGCAGCATTCATGATAGACTGAAGAGGGGATAGCCTGCGATGAGGTCGGCCAATGAGGAGGGAGTTACAATAGTCAAGGCGAGATATAACCAGGGAGTGAATAAGTTGCTTAGTGGTTTCCGAGGTTAGGAACGGCCTTACCTTGGAGATGACTTCTAGATTGCTTCTACTCTCAGGTCAGCTGCCGCAAGCACAGTGTACATTTTCGGTCATATACTTCAAGGGACTTTGGACTATTTTATGTACACTTACCTGGTACTGTTTTTCACCCTTGTGCGACGTTCACCATTTATCGCATCATGAAGATGAGGAGCAGGCAAACACATCAGGCAAATCCAAAATGCCTCCAGAAGAAGATCACTGACAATTACCCAAAACATAAAGGAAGCCTTCTGGGCCTCAAGGACTAAGAGTTTTTGAAATATTAAAAAAAAAAAAGAAAATGCTGTGTGGCCATCTGATTCTAAAAAAGATTCCTAGCAGAGATTTCTAATATCCAGAGTGAGCGAGGAAGAGACGGACCTGGCAGCGGAGGAAGCGTCAAGGCTTAAAATGTAATGTATTTATCCATCGATCAGTTTAATATACGCAGAAATATCTGGTGTTATGGAACAGGCATCCTTGTTAGGACCGCCGGTGGTTTGAAAAAGTAAATATTGACCTGTGATTCAGTGGTATAGAATGTACGTATGCGCCCGCTTAGGATATTTATGCGATATGGCTGGGGTACGAAGTTTATTTCAGGACTCAGCAAGAAAGGAATTTGCAATTGGCTGTCTCCACAGAGATTAACTCAGCGTCAACATCAGTCTACACCACACTGATTCTCTTCAGCAGATTAAGAAGCTATTTCTTTCAATGATGAGGCAATAGGTACTCGTGGAACAACCAAGAAGAGGTGGCCAGTGTTCCAGGCATTGCTTCACTTGTAAATTCAAGGCTCCTAAACCTAAATTATAGGCAGTCAAAGCTAGTGAAAAATGTCTACTGTGCCATAATACCTTAAAGCAGTTGGTGGTCAACTTACTTGATCAATGGGGCCTCAAGTGTGTCCCCTAATATCACCAAAAGGGCAACACATGATATACAGTGTAATGCTAGAAAAAAATTTAAGATTGGACAGACTATTGTAGATGTCGGAGACGACAAGCGTGTTTCAGGAGATTATCAAAGACTGCAGACATGCTACAGAGGATTATCAAAGACTGTAGACATGCTGTAGGACATGGCCGAAGACTGCAGACATGCTACAGGAGATGGTTGAAGACTGCAGACATGCTACAGGAGATGGTTGAAGACTGCAGACATGCTACAGGACATGGCCGAAGACTGCAGACATGCTACAGGAGATGGTCGAAGACTGAGGACATGCTATAGGAGATGATGGAAGACTGCAGACATGCTACAGGAGCTTGTCAAAGACTGCAGACATGCTACAGGAGATGATGGAAGATTGTAGACATGCTACAGGACATGGCCGAAGACTGCAGAAATGCTACTGGAGACGGTGGAAGACTGCAGACATGCTACAGGAGATGGTCAAAGACTGGGGACATGCTACAGGAGATGGTCGAAGACGGAGGACATGCTATAGGAGATGGTGGAAGACTGCAGACATGCTACAGGAGATGGTAGAAGACTGTGTGGACATGCTTCAGATGAAGGTCAAAGACTGCAGACATGCTACAGGAGATGGTCGAAGACTGCAGACATGCTACAGGAGATGGTCAAAGACTGCAGACATGCTACAGGAGATGGTCTACAGGAGATGGTCGAAGACTGCAGACATGCTTCAGAAGATGGTCAAAGATTGCAGACATGCT